GTCCTTATCTGTTTGTTAGGCTTGGCTTTCAGCCACCGAGGTCTTGGTGTCTTGCTATTAAAGTACATTCCAGTTAAGCTTGTCTCGGCATTCGTTACTGGATGGAGGAGGGGGTCAGAACAGTAATCTATCAATATTTTAAGTACATAAAAACAGCCAACTCATTAAAGTTCCCAGTTCAGTTGATCAAAACATTGCAATTACCTTGGACCATACGATGGATGGCCTAGGAACTCCACTGGCTTTGCAAGGCAACGTAACTGGGACATCTTCTATAGTACTGAAGATCTGTTGTCCATGCTGAATTATGGGTGGAACTGAAAACACAAATATGCAAGTATCTTACAAATTATTTCTTGTTAGATGTTATTTTACATGTGTGATGTTGCTGTTCATTATAAGGCATAATCTATTAACACAGATATTCCATCATAGGTTTTTTTTCTTAAGTTTCAGTCTTTTTTAGATGTAATGGCAGGTATAGGTAATGTAGAGTCCACAGTCAATGATGTGATGAAAAATACTCCTTTGGTACCCAACAGACTCTCTGTTCCACTTGACTTTTTAGAAAGATTATTTTAATTACAAATATTAAATAAGAAGCTGGCATACTGCTAAGTATCATCTTCTTACACCATATTTGTATCTATGTAAAATTGATTTCCACAAACATCCAATGGGATGTCAGAAAGAATGTGAGTAGATCTGTTAGTTCACCTTTTGATAAAAGGTTTCTGTTTGTGGCTGTGTCCACCTTGGCAATCATTTCACAGCCAAACAAATCTCCCTTGTGGCCACTTCATAAGTGTACTTGTAATGTCTTCTCAAATGTCCCTAGGTTCCAAAGATGGCCATTCCTGCATTATGCCTTATATTTAGATTAGACAACAAGGAATAGCTTCCTTTGTCTCTCACACAAAACTTAATAACAGATTTGTTGGTTTAGGTTTCCTGATTCCCTAAGCCAGGAGTACAGGGGGGGACCTCCTCATGAAGCCCATCCTGGAAGTGGCAGGGAAAGACATCAGCCACTGTTTTGACCCCAAGACCAGAGATGTACAGACGCACATCAATCCGCTCGTGGGCTGCCTCAAGTACTACACACCCCAGGGCCGGTTTGTGAACATCCCGCCACCTCTTCCTCGCTCGGACTGGGCCAATGATTTTGGGGTGGCCCGGTGGAAAAATCCTATGTACGAAATGGGCACCTTGTCTGTCGTTGTAAGCCGCCCGGAGTCATCCGGGATTGGGCGGCCTATAAATTTAATAAATGAATTTAATGTAATAAATGAATGAAAACCCGGAACATTCGGATCATCAAGACGCTGACTTCTTTTGGATACAAATAATTTTTCTTTCGCATAGCTGCTTAGCACATTCTGCATGCATAAGAACTTTAACACACATACACATCTCATCTGCCTTTCATGAGCAGCTGGAACCAGTTTATTACCTTCAGCATTCCAACAAAACTCCTTAGCTATACTTACCCTATGAAAGGAGACATTTACATAATATACGGTTGTGTTGGATCTATTTCTAATTGAAAACACAGAACTTAGTGAAGATTTATTTCTTTATTCCACAAACTATCTCTTACTAATCTAATCAAATCTTTTGTATAGACAAAGACCAGCAGAACGCTACTTATGATGATGATGACGAATATGAGAATAAGAGATGACCATAGACTACAGTTCTATAGCAGAGGTGGGTTCCTACCAGTTCGCACCTATTCGGTAGAACTGGTTCATCAAATCTACCGAACCGGTTAGAAGAGGTTCCACCAGTGGACCCG